AAAAGAAAAAGAAACAAACTTAAATATTGAAACTTAAATACAAAATAAGAAAAGAAAAAAGCATGTCATGTGCACAGCAGAACATGAGAGGATTCAAAATATATAGCAATAAATTTCCACTTCAAGAAAGCCTATATGATAAATACTACACATTGTGTTGAGATCTGTCCATGTTTTCTCAAGTTCCTTAATTTCTCTGTAGTTTTTGATAACACTGACACTTGCTCCTATTAGCTACTCTTTCTGCCTTCAACTCCCCTCTACAAATAGTCCTGCATAGCTGTGCTTAATGGTATGAGCTCCTTACATCTTGCTGGTCACAAATATTTCAACTCACAATTTTCCTGTCTTATACTCTCCCAACTAGGTCTCCAGCTCCCAACGCAAAGCAGTGCTGATTAGTGAGATTTCACTATATGTTATTGGCTCTACCCTTCCCACCATACTGTGCTGCTATGTCTATCTTCTCCACTGCTTTACTTTCTAATTCTTACTCTAGGAATAGTAATCAAATCAATACTACCACTGTTTGGGGGCTTTTTAATTAAATTTTATTTTTCATTTCGAACTTAACCACTTTGCCTACAAATAGATAGCATCACTGCCCTATCCTCTGAGTCTTTTGACTTACCCCTCTGACTTTGCCCTTCTCTGACCACCACTTCTATACACTTGTCTCTCCACTCAAATGTAAGCCTCTCTATGGTAGGGATTATCTTTATTTTGTATTTGTATCTCCATGCTTAGCATAGCGCTTGGTACATAATAAGTGCCTAATGAATTTTTTTTCATTCATTCATCCAATGACTCAACATTCACTTCTTGGTCTTCTTATAAGAGAATACTTTTTTAAAACTTTTTAACATTTGTATTTAAAGTTTTGAGTTCCAAATTCCCTTTCCTATTCCCCCTCGCTTAGATGGTAAGCCATCAGATATAGGCTATACAGGTGCAATTATGTATTAGTCATTTTATACAAGAAGGCTCAAATTTAAAAAAATGAAAGAAAGAAAGCATGCTTCAGTCTGTATTCACTCAATATCAGTTCTTTCTCTGGAGGTGGATAGTATGCTTCATCATTAGTCCTCTGGGATTGTCTCGGATCATTGTATTTCTGAGAATTGTTAAGTCATTCACAATTCTTCATCAAACAATATTGCTGTTACTGTGTACAACATTCTCCTGCGTCTGTTCACTTCACTATGCATTAAGTTCATGTAAATCTTTCCAGATTTTTCTGAAACCATTCTGCTTAGTCATTTCTTATAGGCAATAATATTCCATTACAATCAAGTACCACAGTTTGTTTAGCCATTCCCCAATTGATGGGTATTCCCTTGATTTCCAGTTCTTGGTCACCATAAAAAGAGCCACTATAAATTTTTTTTTTTCACAAATAGGTCCTTTTTCCCTTTTTTGGATGTCTTTAGGATATAGACCTAGCAGTGATATTGCTGGATCAAAAGGTATGCACAATTTTATAGCCCTTTTAGTTACAAATTGCTCTCCAGAATGGTTAGATTAGTTCACAACTCCACCAACAGTGCGTTAGTGTCCCAGTTTCCACACATCCCCTCCAACATCCAACATTTTCCTTTTTTGTCATATTAGCCACTCTGATAGTGAGATGATGTCTCAGAGTTGTTTTAATTTGCATTTCTCTGATCAAGAGTGATTTACAGCATTTTTTCATATGACACTAGATAGCTTTAATTTCTTCATCTAAAAACTACTTGTTCATATCCTTTGACAATTTATCAGTTGGGGAATGAATCTGACTCAGTTCTCTATATATTTGAGAAATGAGGGCTTTATCAGAGATACTTGTTTCAAAATTTTTTCCCTAGTTTTCTGCTTTTCTTATAATTTTGGTTGCATTGGTTTTGTTTGTATGACAACCTTTTAATTTTATATAATCAAAATTATCTTTTTTATATTTTGTAATGTTCTTTATAACTTCTTTGGTCCTAAATTCTTCCCTTATGCATAAATCTGACAGATAAACTATCCCATGCTCTTTTAATTTGCTTTATAAGAATATTCTTTGAGAGAAATACCTGTCTCTACATTCTCTCACTTAGCAATTTCATTCACTTCCACAGTCTGAATTGCCCACTGCTCTCAAATCTCCATCACCAATACTAACCATTTTCAGTTTCAGGCTGGAATTTTCAACTGCATATAGAACATTACTTCTTCATTATCTTATTGGTACCTCACATTCAAAGTATCCAAGCCTATACTCATTATATTTTTTCTCCAAATCTGCTTCTCCTTCTGACTTCATTATTCTCATCTGGAGTAACACTACTAACTCCATGTTCATAACCTTGGCATTATTTCTGGTTCTTCCCTCTTTCTTTTCTTTCATATTCAATCAATTTTAAAAGCCTGTCAATTTGACCTCTACAACATCTTTCAAATCTTTCTTCTCTTTTGGACTATGGCAACAATGCTGACTCCAATCTCTTCCTCCTTTAATCTATTCTGGAGCATGTTACTTCTTATGAAGAGTGATGTAGTCATGTCCTGGCTCTGTGCAAAAATCTTCAGTGGTACCTTACTGACTACCAAAAGTTAAAACTCCTTTCTCAAGCATTCAAAGTTCTCCATAGTTTGGCCAGATCACCAGCCTTATCAGCACTGTCTTCCACAAATTTTCTATTTCAGCCAAACAGTACTACTGTCTGCCAAATATACATCCCATCTTTCTCTATATCTTATGATCCCATGTGAGTTCTTTCCCAGGGCATCATCCTTGAACTGGCTATATACCTCACCCTTACTGATCTTGACCCCATGGTGAACCAGTTCAATTCTATTTATTCTCAAATCCTTTTCCCCCTTTTCTTTTCACTGATCATACCAGACCAAACAGTAATTCTGGATTACTCCCCATATCTACTTCTTTGCTCCTATTAATGTGCTAAAGAAGAGAGCTGAAGGAAGTCATGTGCTCTTTGAGTCCATTACAAATTTATGCTATCTAATCTCAAGTGAGTCTTCATTGTAGTAAATGAATTCTCCCACTTATCCCTACTCTATTCTCTATTCCACCGTCCACAGTTTCAAACCTTACTTTTCCTCAGGCCTCTGACAGTACCCTTTCCTATTCCCATTCATCTGAGTACCTCACCTCATACCTCACCCTCCCCCCAAAAAATGAAGCCATTCACTGAGAGCTGTTTTTTCCCTTCTTTTTCACTTACACATTTCAAACACCATCCTCAACCATTTCTTTCACTTGTGTCTAATGAAGTGGTCGATGCACTTTGCACTCCATTTTGTCCTGGCTTCTTTAGATTTCTCCCACTATCATCCCCTCTCTCTAATATTCAGTCTCTCTCTATCTACTGGTTCCTTCACTTATGCCTATTAATATGCCTATGTCTCCTTTATTCTTTAAAAAAAAACCTTCTCTTGATCACACCATTCTCAATAGTGAATTCTATAAAGCATTTGTTGGTCACCTTTTTCTCCTGAATATTCTGTCCCCTCTAGGTTTTTATGATGGCACACATCCTTGGTCCACATCTTTTACAGTATGGATCTTCATTGACTTCACACACAAATACTAACTGAGGCTATCCCAAAATTTTCCATCCTGGGCCGCCTTCTTTTTTCTGTCTCTTCTCTCTTCTCTCTTGATACTTTCATACTTGGTTATCCCATCAGCTCCCATGTTTTAATTATGATCTCTATGAAAATGATTACCAAATGGCTACTTTCAAGATTCAGTCCAAATCCCATCATCTACAGAAGGCCTTTCCCAGTTTCATCAACCCTACCTCAAGGTTATAGATCCTTCTCCTTTTAATATTACCTTCTATCCTGTATGTACATATTTCTTTATATGTCATCGACCCCATTAGCATATAGCTATATACGTCCTTGGGGCAGATAGGTGGCATAGTGGATAGAGTGCTGGCCTGGAGTCAGGAAGATTCATCTTCCTGAGTTCAAATCTGGCTTCAGATACTTACTAGCTATGTGACCTTGGGCAAATCACTTAACCCTGTTCCCTCATCTGTACAATGAGCTGGAGAAGGAAATACCAAACCACTCAAGTATGTTTGTCAAGAAAACCCAAATGGGGTTACAAAGAGTCAGACGCAATTGAAAAATGACTGAATATATACTTCCTTTAGGGCAGGAAGTATTTTTGCCTTTCTTTGTACCACCAGAATGGTGCCTGGAACATAGCGTTTTAATAAATTATTGCTGACTTACAGACTTTGTCAGGTGAATGGAAGATGGCTTGGAGTGAGGAGAGCCTTGAGTTAGAAAGACTAACCAGAAGCCTATTACAACAGTATAGCATGAAGTGATGAAAGACTTCATGAGGGTGGTGGCTATATAAGTAGAAAGACAGGGAAATACATGAGAGCTGATTTGAAGGTAGAAACAACAAGACTTGGCACCAGAATGCATATGAGTGAATGAGAGAAAGGAGCCAAGGAGATGATAGACTCAGAGTTGGGGAAAATATAGAAACATAGCCCCTTCCTAATTAACCACAGAGCCAACTGTACAATATATTTTGACTCTTGATTTTATTTGAATTTTTATTATGTTTAGTTTTGATACATCTTTAATTGTTCCTAAATTGCTTCAAATAATGTTAGTTTACTTTCCTTGCCATCACTGCCCTCCCCACCAAAAAGATTATGAGCCCCTTAAGGACAAGAATTATGTCATATACCTCTTTGTAATCAACCCGGTATCTAGCAAATTACTGATAAGGCACCAAATAAATGCTGAAAAATACTTAAGGATTTGAATAGAATTAGCAGTAATAAGTTATAAGCTGCTTAAAGCAAGGACCATTTCTTTTTAATAAATCCTAAACTCAGAACTTGAAACAATGCAATGCACATGAGCACTAATCATTATATTCCTTTCCCTTTTGAAAGATTGGGATCTTTCTTCTGAAACAAAGCACAAAATAATGTTGTTGTTGTTAAATGTCCATTTGTTAGGAAATAATATGATATACTTACGTTTCTGTTGGGATTGGAATTGGATTCATTCTGTAGTTCAAAAATGTGCTACAAATCTCAAGAAACTGTTCAGGTTTCCTTATTATTGGGTCTGAAAAGAGTGATTAATTGGTTAGTTCAACAAGTATTTATCAATCGCCTATTAAATACTGGGTATAAAACATGATGTATCATAATGGCAAAGTTTTCTAGATGATGAAAGTGAAATGGTCATGGGAAAAGATAAGTGCGTGCCGTAGATACCTATTTGCTTATAGCTAGGTTCTTATGCTCTTAAGTCTCACCTATAGTCACCATAGTGTATATGCACATGCACACACACACACACACACACACACACACATATATGTACATACACATATATATATACACATATATACACATACATATACATACACATACATATGTGCATATCCTATAATGTGCCAGGAACTATGTTAAGCACTTTACAAATTTTACTTCATTTGTTCCTCACAACCACCCTGTGAGGTAAGTACTATTATTAGTCCATTTTACAGTTGAGAAAATTGAGGCAAACAGTGGTTAAGTGACTTACCAGAGTCTGACAGCTAATAAGTGCCCAAGGCTGGATTTGAATTCAGTGTCTTCCTGACTATGTGCCCAGCACTCTATCCACTGTGCCACCGAATGACTTAAGCATGTAGCATTATTATTTACCCACAGAATTATTTTAGCATCTGGGTCTTAATCTACTACTGATCAGAGAAACCTGAATGGATCTTGATTTGGACACCTTCATTAACTAAAGAACAACGCATCATTCAGAATTATATAGTACTTGGTGACAGCTGGGATCTAGACCTCTTGATATTTGTTTTGTTTTTCTTTCATCAGTCCCTTATTACTGCAACCAGAGACCACGTACGTTCTTCAGAAAGGGACCGGAGCACATGTCCTTTATAAAAAAAGATCCAGAATTCCAGGGGAAGGACCCTAGACCAATGGATTAAAGAGCTTCTAAGCCCACTTTTGTCCGGCTACATTAGCTTGCTTGTTGATTCTCATACATGACAGTCCATCTCCCATTTTTGTACCTTGGCACTGACAGTCCCCCATGTCTGGAATTCTCTCTTTCTTCACCTTTGCCTCTTAAAATACCTTAGTTCTTTCAAGATTCAGGTCAAATACCATCTTTTTTAGGAAATGAAATCCTGTATCCCCAGTTGCTGAATTCCCATTTAAGGTCATCTTGATCTCTCTGTCTATTTTGTATGTGCTTATTTATATATGCACTGTCTTCCCCATTAGAGTGAGGGCCAAGACTGAAGTTGCTTTTTCTTTGTATCGCTAGCACTTAATAGAGTGCCTAGCACATAGTTAGCACTTAATAAATGCATGCTGATCGATTGACTGGCAGAGAGATGATGGACTAGAGGTGAAGAATAAGACGTACATTTTCAGATATGCATAGCCAATGTGTTCATTTGTTATGTTTGCCTATATTTATTTGTTTCTTGTTGCATGCAATGACTTCTAATAAAGGGAAGGGCGAGCTAGTAGACAGTGAAGGAGAAATTTTTTAAAAAGAAAGAAGTGTAAAACAAAAAAAGAAGTACCAACAAAACATTTTAAAATCACAGAAAAAAAAAAGGAAATTCAGAAAGGATCATAAATAAATAGGCCTTTTTATTTTGCTAACTCCTTAAATGTACATATATTTAAAAACCAATGGTATATGATAGAATCTAACAATTTCATATGTAATAGTATTTTTGCTTCTCTCAGATATTGAAATATTTGTACCTATTTATTATTATTGTTAGTATCATATTTTTTAAAGTTAAAAGTAGGAGGAGAACTAAGAAAACATAACATCTTAAAAACCAAGGGAAGTAAACAATGTCAAAAGCTACAGAGAGGTCAAGGACAATAAGGACTAAGAATAGGACTCTGGACTTGCTGATAAAAGGGTTAACGGTGACCTTTGAGAGAGTAGTTTCAGCAGAGTATTAGGGACAGAAGTTAGACTATAAGGGGTTAGTGGAAATATTCCATTCATATTTACTATTCAAGAAAAAGGATATGTTGTCCTAAGAGGTGGTGAAGAAAAAGTAACTAAATGACTAGTGGGTACAAAATATAAAATATGGGGGTAATATGTAGATAAAATATTTATATTGATTATAATAATAATCATAACTGGAAAAATCTTCCTTCTATACTTTTGCTCCATTAAAAAAATAACATAATTTCATTCACTATCTACTCCATTAATAAAACATAAACACACGTTTTCACTTGTCAGAAGCTCTGCTCTGAAGGAAGTTCAAGGTAGTAATAAGTTTAGCCATTGTTATGTTCCTCAAAATTTCTCTCAAGAATGTCTCTGCTAGCCTTTCATTTACATGATGAAATACATCTTATAGTAATAACTATACTAATTAAATAGGAGCATTTGGCAATTTTGTAATTCTTCCAAAATAGTTGTATGGATATTACAATATGACATAGGTTTACAAATCATTTTATTTAGATTATTCAGAGGGGCACAACTGAAACATTTTGTTTAACTTTGAACACATTTTAGGTCTAAGGGGATGTCTTTTCTTGAAAAATATGGGAATGAGGGAGCCATATGGTAGACTGGGGCATCCACACAGCTGAACTCTTCCAACATTTCCCTCAAACCAACTTTAAAGTAATGCCTTAAATCAAATTTTAGAGTGGCAGAACCAACAAAAGGTCAGAGTGAGGCATTATTTCTGGCCTAAGAAAACTGAAAAGTTGACGGGAAAAGTCTGTGACCCAGTGGTAGAACCCACACATGGGGCGGCAGCAGCAGCAGCTTCAGAAGTTCTCAGCCCAGAGACAGTAAGGGGGTTGGACAACTGGTCATAAAGTGATGACAGGGACCCTTTCCTGGCACGGGGCACAGCCGGCACTGATTAGCAACTCATTTGAACATATGCAGTCCTCAGTCGCAGTTCCAAAACAGAGAGAAGAGCTGATAGTCATAAGGGAGCAGAGGCACTGAGGAGTGCTAATGCTGTGGCTACAGGGGACCAGGGGCCCTTCCTGAGTAAAGACCAGAGCATGGATGAGGAGAGCAGTGATCACACCTTTCCCAGGATCACACCATCTTGGAATCACCAATAACTTACAGACCTCCAGAACTAGTTCTGAAAACAGCAGCATGAAAAAGCCTGAAGTTTGGGACAATGCCTCCCCACCCCTAGGTGAGCAGAGTTCAACTTTAATACAAAGTTCAAAGTCAAGAAATAGACTAGTAAAAAGAACAAACACCACAAAAGAATTTGACCATAGAAAGCTACTATGGTGGCAGGGAAGATCAAGATGTAAACTCAGAAAAAGATAACAATGTAAAAACAGCTACCAAAAAAAAACTTCAAAAAAAATACTAACTGGATCCAAACCCAAGAAGGATTCCTGGAAGAGTTAAAGGAAGAGATAAGAGTAGAGGAGAAGTTGGGAAAGGAAATGAGAGTGATAAAAGAAAATTATGAAGAGAGAATGAACAGCTTAATAAAAGAGGCACAAAATAAACTGAAGAAAATAACACCTTGAAAAATAGAATTAGCCTAATGATAAAAGAGGTACAAAAAAGCCACTGAAGAAAAGAATTCCTTAAAAAGCAAAATTTTCACAATAGAAAAAGAACTACAAAAGCTCACTGACGAAAATCACTCCTTAAAAATTAGAATTGAGTAAGTAGAAGCTAATGATGCCATGAGACATGAAGAAACAATAAAACAAAGTCAAAAGAATAAAAAAATAGAAGAAAATGTGAAATATTTCATCAGGAAAACACTCAACATTGAAAACAGATCAAGGAGATATAATTTAAGAATTCTTAAACTACATGAAAGCCATGATCAAAGAAAGAGCCTAGATATCATATTTCCAGAAATTATCAAAGAAAACTGTTCTAATATTCAAAGGGTAAAATAGAAATGGAAAGAACATATAGACCACCTCCTGGAACAGATCCCAAAATAAAACTCCCAGGAATATTATAGACAAATTCCAGAGCTCTCAGGTTAAAGAGAAAATTCTTCAACTTCAAGCAGTCAGAAAGAAATAATGCAAATATCATGGAACCACAGTCAGGATCATACAAGATTTAACAGCTTGAACTTTAATGGAGTGGAGGGCTTACAGTGATATCCCAGAAGGCAAAGGAGCTAGGATTACAACCAATAATAACCTACCCAGCAAAAATGAGTATAAATAAACCTTTGAGGGGAAAAATGGATATATATAAAAAAGAGGACTTCTAAGCATTCCTAATGAAAAGACCAGAGCTAACAAGAATATCTGATATTCAAATACAAGAATCAAAAGAAGTATAAAAATGTAAACATAAAAGAGAAATCATAAAGAATACAATACTGTTTACATTCTTAAATGGGAAAATGATACCTGTAACTCCTAAGAATTTTATCATTATTACGGCAATCAAAAGGAGTTTACATAGACATAAGGCATGGGTGTGTCAAGTATATTGGAATGATCACCAAAAAATATGAAGGGTGAGAAAGAGGGATACACTAGGAAAAGGGAGAAGGGAGAGGTAGAATGGGAAAATTCTTCTCACACAAAAGAGGTGCAGGAAGAACTTTTACAATGGAGGGGAAATGAAGGAAATGGCAGGCAATGCTTAAACCTCACACACATCAGAATTGGTTCAAAGAGGGTAGAATATATATACACATTCAGCAGTACATATAAATGTAAATTACCCAGTAGGAAAATAGGAGGGGAAGAGAATAAGAGAAAGAGGAGATGATGATAAAAGGGATTAAGGTATGCAGTGGTTAGAAGCAAAACAGACTTGTAACGAGGACAGGATAAAAACAAAGAGTAAGAAACAGAAGAAAATGAGGAGGGAAATACACAGTAATTATAACTGTGAATATGAATGAGATGAACTCACCCATAAAACAGAAGCAGATAGCAGAACAGATCAGAAACCAGAATCCAACAATATATTATTTACAAGAAACACACTTGAAAAAGAAAGACACACACACAGAGTTATAATAAAGGACTGGAGTAGTATCTGATATAATAAAAAAGGCAGGGATAGCAATCATGAATCTCAGATGAAGCAAAATCAAAACGAGACATAATTAAGAGATAATTAGGGAAATTACATTATGCTAAAAAGTACCATAGATAATGAAGAAATGTCAAAAAAAAATTACAGCAAGTTTCTCTAAATAGGCCTCATTTCTCAAATATACGAGTATAGAACTGTGCCAACTTTATAAAAATAAGAGCCATTCCCCAACTGATAAATGATCAAAGGATATAAACAGCCAGTTTTCAGAAGAATTAATCAAAGCTATTTATAGTCACATGAAAAAATGCTCTAAATCATTACTGATTAGAGAAAGGTAAATTAAAATAACTCTGAAAATTTGGAACCCAAAGTTTTAAAAACACATGTTTAAAAAAATGTTTTCACATGCAACTGGGAAATAAGAAATACAAGAAATGGGGCACAGAAATCTATCCTGCCCTACAGGAAAGTAGAAGGGGAAGGGGATAAGAGAAGGGGTGGGTGAGAGTTAGAAGGGAGGGCAGACTAGGGGAAGGGATATTCAGAATGCACGCTATCTTGGGGTGGGGGGAGGGGTGAGATGGAGTGAAAATTTGGAACTAAAAATCTTGTAGAAGTAAATGTTGAAAACTAAAAGTAAATAATTTTTTTTAAAAAGTCCATTCCATAAATAAATAAATAATATAAAATAACTCTGATGGAGCAGCTAGATGGCGCAGTGCATAGAGCTCTGGCCTTGGAGTCAGGAGGACCTGAGTTCAAATCCAGCCTCAGACATATGACACTTACTAGCTGTGTGACCCTGGGCAAGTCACTTAACCCTTATTGCCTCACCAAAAGGCAAAAATAAATAAATAAAATAACATAACATAACATAAAATAACTCTGAGCTAGCTACCCCTTAACACCTATCAGAAATGACAAATGCTGGAAGGGATGAGGGAAAAATAGATACACTAATGAAATACTAGTGGAATACTGAACTGGTCCAACCATTCTGGAGGATCACAAGGAAGCCTCTGTCAGCCTTCATTCAGGATATTAGTAAATTAGAAATGATCATTTCCTAAGACAACAAATAAGAAACAAACCTTGAGGTTCATCTGTCACAACAGTCTCTTTCTTTTGGCGAATAAGTTTCCAAGCAGGTACAGATGGTGGTTTTGGTGGAGCTATAAGAGGACAAGACCTAGTTCTAGTCACCAGCATGGGATGGCTACGTACGTGGCAAAGTCCATGCTCTCTGAGCTTTTCAGCAGATTCTGTCTAAAAGATACAAGACAAAGATGACAAAGAGGATGAGGGCAAATGTACCCTTTGAACTCTGAATTAAATTCAGAACAAACTGAAGAAAATTTTATTATATCAGATATTGCTTGAAAAGGGTTAGACTTTGAAAATTGCTTTAGAAAATTTTATTATAATGGCATGCATTGCAACAAGATTTGAAATTTTTTTAGGTGGCTCAAATATTAACAGACCCATTTTGTAGATGAGGAAATTAAGGTTCAGTGAGGTTAGACAATTTGCTCGAGGTCACTATGACAGTGGGGGCCAACTAAGTCAATCAATTACCTCAACCCATTTAAAGTAACCAATACTCAAATCCAGGTCCCTGACTCCAAAGAATAATGTATTATAACATTAAAAAGTAACTATTACTTTTTTATAGCTAAAAAGTAGAGATAGCTGTCACTGCCCCATTTTAGGATACTCTAAATTTAGACAACTAACTGCTAGCGAAGGAGAAGCTCATCAATTGTGTCCTATTAAGAATTTCAAATTTCAATAGCATTGTCATGATAAATGTGACCAAATATGATTAGATATCCTAATCCTATTTTTAACCCTATTGAGCCTGACACACTAAGTAAAACTGAGTCACATTAGCAGGTATTCTTTATTGGTAGTATTTATCAAGCCACAGCCCTATGATGACAGAAATAGATATAAATATAGTACTTAAAATAGTACTATATCAAATGTAAAGCTAAAGTCATTAAAGTTCTCAGAGCACTTTTTAATAGGATGAATATGTTCTGGATATTTCATCATTCTACAGTTGTGTCTACACTGTAGAATGAGCACTGGAGCAAGAGGACCTAGATTCAATTCCTAACTCTGGTATTTATTCCCTGTGAGATCTTATACAAATCAATTTCCTTGAGTCTCAGGTATCTCATCTACAAAATGATAGGATTTGACTCAATGACTTCTGAAGTCTCTTACAACTCTAAATCTATAATCCTATGAATTTCCTCCTGTAATTTAAATGACGCATGTCAGTTGACATTCATTTCTTCCCTAAGTTATAGTTAATAACTCCCCCTATAACCTTCAGTCAACCCCATTGTCCCTAGAAGAAAATAAAATACAATCTTCTCTTTGGGGCATTTAAAGACTTTTCCAACCTTTCCTAAGTCAGACTAAATTACCTTGACTAATTAGATATATTAATTATATGGCTCCATGTTCTTTGTTTCTTGAACTTGGCATTTTATTTCCTATCCCTGTGCCTTTGTCTAACTACCCCCTCTATCTCAAATATAGTTAATCCTTACTTCTACCTCTTAGAAACTTTCGCTTCCCTCAAGACGCAGCTCTCTTATAAAATGCGTAACCAGCAACATGTAAAAAAGGGAAGAGTGATAACAAATAATCAATATAGTGATAATCAAATAATCAACAACTTGAATCAAATTCAAGTTAAGTCATTAAAGAGTAATTTCACTTGCCTAGTAGCAGAATTACTAGGCTGGTAGATCAGGTAAGTGCTGCAGAAAAATGACTGGACTCAAATTAGTTTTTAACTATAATCATCAACAATTAGATACAAGTGTAGACTTTCCCTATTATAGTGTCCCAGGTATAATAAATATGCAAATCAGTTTCGCAGATGACCCAAAACCTGGAAAGCAGAACTAAAACAATGGGTGACAGAGTCCATGTCCAACATGGCCCTTAGGCTAAAGTTTCAGGCTACATTAAATGAAGCATAAATGAAAGAGAAAAGTTGATCAATGTATTATATTTGTTACAGAAGATCCAGAAGCAAGTGAATAATGTTAGATAAAACCAAAGAAACCTACTACTGGTGTAAGGACTCATTATTCAATAAAAACTCATAGGAAAAGTAGAACACAATATGGCAGAAATTAGTACGTCAACCATAATATGCTCCAAATTAACATATAACCTATCTATATAAAACCTATCTATCACATCACAAACAAATTTCAAGAGCAAAGAAGGTGATACCTTTCACAACTACATATGGGAGAAGACTTCTTGAGGGAAAGAGAGGATCACAGGAAAAAAATGGACAATTTTTATTATATAAAATTGAAAAGGTTTTTCATAAAAAATTTCATGCTGTTAAAATCAGAAGGGGAAAACGACAATGGAAAATCTTTGCAGCATATTTCTCTGATAAAGGTCTAATATTTAAAATATACAGAGTACTAATTCAAATATATAACAACAGCCATTCCCTAATGGATGAATTTTTAGTCACAAGACATTAATTAGCATTTTTCAAAAGAAAAGAAAGCTATTAAGAATGACATAAAATATCCCAAATCATTAATAATAAGACAAATGAAAATTTAAACTGTAGTTCTACCTCATACCCATAAGATTGACAAGGATGACAAAAAAAGAAATAGGACAATTGTTGAAAGAAATTTGGTAAGAGAGGTATAGTAATACATTGTTATTTTCATTCAGTTTTATTTTATTTTGTTCCATGTTCTGTTCTTCCTATCTCTTCTCCCTTACCCATTAAGAATGAAAGAAAAATAAAAATATGTATAGTGAAGCAAAACAAATCCCTGCATTAACCATGTCAAAAAAAAATGCTTCAATTTGCATGGTGAGTCCATCATCTCTCTATCTGAACTAAGATAGCATGTTTTATCATGAGTACCCAGGAATTGTGACTGGTACCATTATATTGATCAGAGTTCCTGAGTTTTTCAAAGTTTTTTGTCATTATAGCATTGTTGCTATTATATAAATTGTTTTCCAGGATCTACTGATCTCTTTGCTTTAGTTTATATAATTCTTCTCAGGTTTTCTAAAAAACATCCCCCTTCATCATTTCTTACAACACAACAGCATTCCATCACAATCATTTATGATACTATGTTTAGCCAACCCCCCAAATGACAGTCATTCTCTGTCTCCAATTCTTTGCCAACATGAAAAGAGCTGTAACAATTATTTTTGTACATATGGGTCCTTCATCTTCTTTGTTTGATCTCTTTGGGGTGCAGATCTAGCAATGATACTACTAGATCAAAGAGTATGTATGGTTTAATAGTTTTGGGGATATAGTTCCAAATTGCTTTCAGATTGGCTAGATGTATTCACAGCTCCCCCAACAATGCATTAATGTACATGTTTTCCCACAGCCCTTCTGGCATTTGTCATTTGCCTTTTTTTTGTCAACTTTGCAATCTGATAGATGTGAGATTGTACCTCAGATTTTTTTAAAATTTATAATTCTTTAATTATTAATAATTTAGAACATTATTCATATCCTTAGGTCACTTACCAAGTCAGTTCTCTACATATATTTGAAAGTTATCAGTGGTTTTTCCCCAAAAATTCTTGCTTCTCATCTAATTTTAGCTGCATTTGGATTTGTTTTAAACTTTTAAATTTTACATAATCAAAATTGTCCATTTTACCCCCGTTAACCTCTCTATCTCATTTGGTAATGAACTCTCATCCCCTACACATGGATCTCCACTGTCCTTCATTCTCCTCTAATTTGTTTATAGATTTCATCTGTATATCATCATATCTCTGCAAAAAGAGAGAGTTTTATTATCTCATTGCCCATTCTGAGTCCTCAATTTTCTTTTTCTTCTCTTATTGCTATTGCTAGGATTTCCAATATAATATTGAATAATATTTATGATAGTGGGTATCCTTATTTCACACCTGATTTTACTGGGAAGGCTTCTAGCTTATCCCCATTACAAATAATACTTGCTAATAATTTTAGGTAAATGCTTCCTATCAATTTAAAGAAAAACCCATTTATACCTATACTTTCAAGTGTTTTTAATAGAAATGAATGTTGTATTTTATCAAAAGATTTTTCTGCATCTATTGATATAATCACATGATTTTGTTACTTTTATTATTGATATAGTCAATTATATTAATAATTTCCCTTCTGTTAAACCATCCTTGTATTCCTGGTATAAATCCCACTTGGTCACAACGTACACTCTTTGTAATATTTTGTTGTAATCTCCTACCTAGAATCCTAGTCAGGATTTTCATATCCATATTCATTAATGAAATTGATCTATAATTTTCTTTCTCTGTTTTTAGTTTTCCTGGTCTACGTATCAATATCATATTTGTTTCATAAAACGAGTTTGGTAGGATCCCTTCTTTACCTATTCTTCCAAATTATTTATTTAACATTGGGATTAATTGGTCTTTAAATTTTTGTATTCCAAATTATTTATTCAACATTGGGATTAATTGGTCTTTAAATTTTTGATAGAATGCACCATGTGGTCATAGTGCTTTTTTTCTTAGGAAGTTCATTTACGGCTTGTTCAATTTCTTTTTCTAAAACAGGTCTATTTAGATATTCCATTTCCTCTTCTGCTAATCTAAGTTTATATTTTTGTAAATATTGTTCTATTTCACTTAAATTGTTAAATTTATTGGCATAAAATTGGGCAAAATTAGCACTTACTCTTAATCATGCCACGGTTTAATGTTATCCTTCTTTGTTTTGGTACCACACAATGTAGTTGTACAGAATTAACATCATGCCTCAGAAAGGCAGTATAATGCAATGGAAAGGGCATGAGTCTTGAAATCAGGAGACCTGGGCTTGAGTACTGGCTCTGCCACTTATTATCTATCTGTACCTCTCAGGGTTTCAGTTTCATCATTTGTAAAACAAAATAACTGGCTAGATGACCTCTAAGGTTCTTTCTCATCTATAAATCCTATTATTCCAGCAACAAGGTAGTGAGGGAAGAAAGAGGTAGCAACAGCCTGAGAGAGCAGCAGAGATGATTATATTTTGCAACAAGGCACTTCATCCAGAAGGCAAATTTAAATGCAAATTGTAAATTGTACATCGAATAGACACTACATTGGGGCATCTCCATTTCAACCTAATTTGTATTCAATATTTATAGAAGTTCTTTCTAACCACGCAAAACAAATATTCATAGATTCTATTTGTCCTATTAACTACCAGAGGACTCAGTATACAGCCTTTTAGGGATAAAAAAATCTAGATGCCAAAAAAAATAATAATAACAAGCAAAGTAACATAAAGTAACATAACTTTCCCCAAGGACAATAGGCTTTTTTGCTTAGGATTTGGAGAGTAATCCTAATTGTAAGCCAGTTTAATAAAACATTTCCATTTTATAGATGAGGTAATTAAGATTTAGGTGAGTGAATCAACTGATTTGGCCAAAGTCTCACCATGAATTAGGGGCAAAATTCGATATTGTATCCTGAATTTCCATATGTCCAGTTCTCCTTGTTCTCCACTACATGAAGCTGAAACATTAGGATTTAAAATATAATCAAACTATAGTGAGTCTACTACTCGCTTACCATCTTCTCTAGTGTAAAGATCTTCTTTTCAAACAAATTCAGAGGCATAAAAGTAGCATATACCACCATTTGAGGTAACTGTGGAACAAACGGTTGAATTCCTCCTGATACTCCAACTAAAAAAAAAAATCACATAATAATTAATACGGTAAAACTACATCATCATATCTGGTTCAAATTTGCATCTAAATATATCTTAGCTCATGAGAAATTGAGGGGAGGGATAATACTTAGAAATTAACATTAAGCTGCAAATAATGTAAGTTTATTTTACATAATGCTTCATAATTCTGACCTCCATGGTAACGTCATAAATACCTTAAAGCACTTTCACTATACTTTACATTACAGTGATAGGCATTGTTAAATCTTTCTTTAACTACCACCCCAAAATGTGCTTAATGTTGGAGGAAGCCCCAGGAGTCATGACTGTGATACTGGAAATTACCTTGGCTGTCATACATAAAACCTCTATTTAGTTTCATAAGGGAAAAAAAAGCCCTGATATAAATGTAATTCTTATTGTGAATGCCTTTTAAGAAACAATGCATAAATAGGAGAGTTAACAATAATCAGTGAAGATAGAATTTATTCTTAAAATGTAATTTCTTCATTTTTACATATGTATTATATTTTTGTTATTTATACAATAAAACATCACTAATATACTAATATCATTTTACACTGATAAAATTACATCTGACTTAAATTTTCTACAGTAGATCAGTGTGAGGTTAAGAGAATCATTACTAGGAAAAAAGTTTTTTCCCTTTTCTTTTTCATTTAAATTCTATTCTTCTTTTTTAATGAATTCTTAAGCACCATCATATAAACTTTCTGTGGCTCCCCATTGTCTATCAAATAGTCTAAAATCTTCACTCAACAATTCAATATTCCCTTCAGTCTGACTACAAAAATATTCCCTCCTACTCTTCACTATTTATTTGTTACTTTTCCCATGCAATTTCTTCTACCCACAATTAAACCGCCCATGATTTACCTTTAGCAGTTGGAATCCTCCCCACTTTCAAGGCCCAGTTCAAATGCTACCTCCTCTATTTAGTTTTCCCTGATCCTCCAAGCCAGAAATCATCCACTCCTCTGACTTTTCATACTTCTTTGTGTGTGCCTTTCTTACTTATTTTCATACTCTGTTTTATCATGTCCATTTGTTGAAAGGCTTTATAACTCTTTTCGCACCTAGTATAGTACCTTGCATGTTATTGCTTAGTCATTTTCAGTCCGTTCTGGCCAGAGACACTTACCAGCTGGGCAAGTCACTTAACCCTGTTTGCCTAGCTCCTTATCTGAAAAATGAGCTGGAAAAGAAAATGGCAAACCATTCTAACATCCTTGCCAAGAAAACCCCAAATGGGGTCACAGAGAGTTGGATGTGTATGAAACAACATTGCCAATAAGATATATCAAAAAATTGAACACGATATCTAGAGATATACTGGGTTCCTCTTCATAGGAAATCTTGAAAATGAAGGATCACCACTTGTCAGAGATGTTGTAAAGAGAAAAATTCTTCTTCAGGTATAGTTGGATTAAATGTCAAATCAAGTTCCTTCCAACTCTACAATTCATGGATTCTGAATTTAATTTTAATGTTATAGAGCCTTCTGATTAAAAGGGATCTCAGTGGTTATATCTTCCAACTCCTACCTAAAGCATGAATCTTGCCCATAACAGCCCTCATAAGTGATTACCTAGCTTCGTCTAAAAAGCTCCAATAATGAGTTCTCTCAGGTAAGCTCATTTCACTTTTGGCCAGGTGTGATTGTTTAAAAAAGGTTGTGTTGTTTGTTTGTTTTTTTCCTTATTTTGACCTCTAGATTTGTTCTCCAATAGTTCATGTTGCTTCTAGTTCTGTTTTCTAGAATAAAAATCCCCCACCAAATCTAATTTCTTTATTTCCTTTCCACATGACAAATTTTTAAATCATAGGCCATCTATACCTTCTCTTCTACAGGCTAAGCATTCTCAGTTCTTCAAATGATCCTCATCTGTCAAAGGTTTAATTCCATGATTTATTCTCTGAATACGATCCAATTGGTCACTATTCTTCCTAACATGTAATACCTAGAACTATATGTAATATTCCCAATGACATTTGTTAGGAAAAGTATAAAGGAGATGATGGTTCAAGTATAGGTTCTAGGGGCAGCTAGGTGGCCCAGTGGATACAGCACTGCCCCTGGATTCAGGAGGACCTGAGTTCAAATCCAGCTTCAGACACATAACACCTACTAGCTGTGTTACCTTAGGCAAGTCACTTAACCCCACTGCCTAGCCCCACCCCCCCAAAAAAATCAAGTATAGGTTCTACTTGAAATTCCTTCCAGTCCTGAGATCCTATGAGAAAATGGACTGCCCATTGCAGAGTACTCTGAAACTATCAACTCCCCACAGCATATTGATTCTTTAATAAATTAATCCTTATAAGCCACTCCCATATCCCATAGCCCTGCTAGGTCACTGTTTAATTTAATATAATGAATTTTACAATAAATGAATATTGAATTAAATCAGTGAACATTAATTATCATTATTTAGGAAAGATGAAAATTCTGATTATTTGACTTGATTTTGTTCTGGATAGGTGAACATTTACTGGGAATATGTTAGGAATTTTTTCCTTATATTTAACCCAAATTTGCCCTGCCTTCAGACAGAAATCTAAATTGGTATATAGCTAGAGTATAGGATAAGAAGGAACACCGCTCATTCCTTTGATGCAAATCTGCAGGTGTATCATGTTTGAAATTCACAGATATGTTATGAACTGATAAAAGGTTTAAAATAGTGACTGAGACAATCCTAAAGTGATGATACATTATATTACATACCTCACACAAATAGCACATTTAAAAACCAGACAAACATACACTGAATATTCTTCATGGGTAGTTTAATATTTGGGAGTTGGCTTGCTTTTTTTTTCAGCTTAAAAATTACTTGTTACATATTTGGTCAGCAATTGAAATTATTTTCTTTATTAAAAACCATATTTAAAAAGGGAGATTTACAAGTACAAACATGGGAATATAAATTAAATATTACTAGTCACAAAATAGGTGCTAAATGAGTTACTTTTTTAAAAATTCAATATTTAGGGTTTCATTAACTATAAACTGGCATCTTCTACAAATACAAAATATTTCCAGCTTGATAAAGGCAAATTTTATAAATTTCTAAAAACCTTTTGGTCAACCTCACATGTGTGTTATACACAGGCAAGGTTATTTTGTCTAAAATTGAATATGGCACATTTTTTAAAATAATAATCACTATTCTTACTGATGGAAGACTAGTTCACACCATCCCAACGAGTTAGATAGTACAATAACCAATCATTCTGTGAAAGCTCGGCCAATTTTATCTTCATCTTTGTATTCCAAGTTTCTAGTATTGCAGGCATGGAGTAGGCACTTGATAAATGATTGAACTGAATTTTACAAACAAGAAAACTGAGACCCAAGAGTGGTTAAATGATTTTCTCAAGGTCATCTACTTAATGGCAGAACTATGAAGTTATGTGCTTTTGAATAGCTATTAGATGATTAACTTGCATGATAGTTATGGTGTTTACTCAGGATAGTATCAATCACTTCTTTGAAAGCGCATCTGATGAAAAAAGTAAAGCTATGTATAGCCATATGAAAAAATGCTCTAAATCACTACTGATTAGAGAAATACAAATTAAAACTACTCTGAGGTGCCACATCATATCACATCACATCACATCAGTTTGGCTAATATGATAGAACAGGAAAAAAACAAATGTTGGAGAAGATGTGGGAAAATTGAGACACTGATGATTGTTGGGTCGAGTTGTGAACTGATCCAACCATTCTGGAGAACAATTTGGAACTATGCCCAAAGGGTAAAAACACTGTGCATACCCTTTGATCCAGCAATGCCACTACTACATCTGTATTGCAAACTGATCATAAAAAGGGGAAAAGGACCTACACATACAAAAATATTTATACCAGCTCTTTTTGTGGTGGCAAAGAATTGAAAATTGAGGGAATGCCCATCAATTGGAGAATGACTGAACAAGTCGTGAAATGTTATAATGGAATACTATTGTGCTATAAGAAATGATGAGCAGGAGGATTTCAGAAAAACCTGGAAAGACTTACATGAACTGAGTTGAGTGAGATGAACAGAATCAGGAGAACACTATACACAGTACAACACATTGCAACATTGTGCAATGATCATCTGTGACTGACTTAGCTCTTCTCAGCAATGTAATGATCCAAGACAATTCCAAAAGACTCATGACAAAAAATGCTATCCACATCCAGAGAAAGAACTATGGAGTCTGAATGCTAATTGAAACAGACTATTTTTGCTTTTTTGTTGTTTTTTTCCATTCTGGCTTTTCCGTTTTGTTCTGTTTTCTTCTTTTACAACATGACTATGTGGAAATATGTTTACATGATTACACATGTATAATCTATATTATAATGCTTGCCATCTTGGGGAGAAGGAAGGAAAGGGAGGGAGGGAGAAAAAAATTGGAACTCAAAATGTTATAAAAAGTGAATGTTGAAAACTATCTTTACATGTAATTGGAAAAATAAGATATTGTTTATATATAGAAAAGAAAACACATCTGAAAACTGTTCTTGGGTATATAATGTCAGAGTATTTTTACCTGAGTATGTACAGTTTTGCCTCATCCTTATATTTTATGTGCTTTCGTTCAGGTATTACCCCAAAACACAGGACCTGAATTTATATGCTGCTTTGCCAATTTCTCATGTGAAAAAGTATTTTACTCAAATAGCAATTACTGTAGAAAATAACAGAGCCTAAAGCTGTGACACATAGTGTAGATGGACTCTGAAATACTATTATTACAGGGCCATAACAAATTATTAGAGCATATAAATCATGAATGAATAAAACTATTATCATTGAAACAAGTGAATTTGACATATTGAGGAAACTTCGATGAAAATTAAGATACTTCTTAGTAATAGTAAAATTCTGAAAATATGGTTGCAAAGAGCCAACTAGGAAACCTAAGGTGGTAGGTTATTGCTGTGCCAATTACTAGTCTATTTATATATTAAATTGCAGGATAAAAAAAAAAGGA